CTCGTCTTTCTCCTTTACATTTGATGCTCCAATTATTATTTTCTGATGACAAAGATAATCTCAATCATGTAGGACAGAAGATCTTATGATACAAGCATTATCATGATAGACCATGATAATATCTAATTGAGTTTTTATCTCATGTAGAAACACAAGATTGAGCTTTCATCAACTAGTTGTACTATTATTGAATTATATGCTCGAATTGCTATCATCAGTTCTTTATATTCATCTCCTAAGCCATTGAGAGTATGAATGATGACTTTTTCATTACTCAAGGGATAACCTATTAAAGTCAAATCATATATAATAACTTTTAGATTTTATATATCATTAGCAATAGTATCTCCCTCTTATATTGTTTTCATCGGAGTAGATAAAAGATTTAACATATGAGTGTGAGAGTGATTAGCAAGTGTAGTTTATAACTTGGATCATACTTCTATCGTAGTATTACATTAAAAGATTAATGGTGCTATGGAGCCAGTAACTAAGGTTTGAATGGCTTGTAGAACAAGATAATCTTATTATTACCAGAACTTCTAATAAAGATTTGCCATTGGGATAGGTTTTCTTAATATTCAGATTTTTTTCTAGTGGACAACTAAGAGAGTCATCGATGTAGCCCAATCGATTATATCTAAAGAAGAGATTGGTTAATTATACTCATCAAAATACATAATTGTCACCGGAGAACTTAAAGGGGATTAGAATTGCTACATTAATATATAAAAGTCTTGTAGGTTAAGATGAACTATTATTTCTTAAGTAAACAATAATTGGAGCATTAAATATAGAGTAGAAAGACATGCTGAAAAAATATTGTGATCCAATAAGAGAAATCCAAAACCAATTGATAGTCTAGTTTGAATACACAGATGGTGAAGATATACTCTGTTGAAGGTTATCAAATATAAGAAGTGCACATGAGAAGATATAATCTGATGAAGGAAATCAGATCTGAGAAGTACACATAAGAGAATCTGATTTGAGATGTGCAAAAGAAGGTGATTTCTTTCATTCTTTCTTGAGTCCTCTCGATTGCGAGTGCTGATGGTGTAGTTAAAAAGATGGTGATAAGCAATAGACTATCGTAGAGAGGTCGATTATGGATCCGAGGCGCTAGTGAGTTCAATAGTTGACGAGAAGGTGATAAGGACACCGATAGAAATGCTGAGTAGTAGAAAAGAGCAGAGGGAATTCCCACCAAGCAAAAAATCTATTGTGGAGCTGATTGCTCTAGGAGATTGGAAAGGTGGAGTCACATGTCTTTATCTTCGGTGCAATGGTAGAATTTGAAAGTAGAAAAAGTTATAAAGTAGCAACATAGCAGGGTAGAGGAAGAGAGAGCGAGGAAAAATGAGCCTTGTTTGAAGCAATACATATTGTGAAGGTTATGATGTAATAAAGTACTTATTGTGAAAGGGATGATCTCGTTGAGGTAATACATATTTATGCAGGTTATATGAAAAAAATCATTCAAATCATGCACTTATATTTGTGATTAATCTTCAAATCATAAATTGATTAAGGGTTAGAACATTTAAGGAATATAGAGTTGTCATTCCATATTTTCCTGTATGATGATTTTCAATTATGTCTTCGGAAGATTGAGCTTCTATTATAAATGTCAATCTTAAATCAATGCAACTGAAATATCATTAGGGTAAGAGATTTTATAAGGAAGTCTTCTAGTTGGTCAAGAAGATTTAAGTGATCTTGCAAAGGAAGGAAAGATAACGTTGTCATCAAGTTATGAGCCTCATGTAAGAATGCACATGATTGTCTACCAGAGTTATCAATCCATAATTAAGGATTAGAATATATAAGAAATTCAAAGTTATCATTTCATATTTACGTATATCATAATTTTCTATCAAATTTTATAGTTCAAAAATTTTTTATGTATATTCATGAAAAAAATTAGCTCGTAAGTTATCTTAAGTGAATCAGAATTTATCCGATATATCATCTCCCAAAATATTTCTCTCGCCTTATATCACATTCTTTCTAGATCCACTTAAGAGAAGTCATTAGAGCACTCAAATTATTTTCTAACGTCCTTCTCCCGTTATGATAGATATTTTTTAAGCATTACAATATCCCTTATTTGAATCCATTTCTTTCTGTTCTCTCTCTCTCTCTCTCTCTCTCTCCTCTTCTATTATTTTGGTCTACTTAGACTAATG